CATCTATTTATAGTTAAATTTTATTTCCCTTTGAACCATGTCTAACTACTATTTGTGCCATTATAAGTTGTAAATCACTCAGGGAACGTGCAGCTCATGTTATGGTATCAAATTGCATTATCCATGAGCTGCTCGCATGCATGCCTCGTGAACCATTTTAATTATATTATTTTATTATTACTTATTTTACCTAATTTAGTCTTAAATAACTTAAAAAGATCCATATTTTTAGATTTTATTTATGTTTATAATAATAAATAAAGAATATATATATATATATGAAAAACAAAAAATAAAGTACTTACCCAATCTTCTTTTTTCTTGCCCTCGACTGTGGAGGACAGTTAAGCCTGATTTTTTATAGTAACTATAATAAGGCACTTAATAGTTTTTATTTAATTTAATAATTCACCAAAGAATATAGACTAATAACATGCAAAAAGTAGGCAAACTCTCTTACCTATCAAAATTTGCCTGGCTATCAAACTATGCGATAAGAGCCATTATAAATTCATCCAAGCTAGTCGTTAACTTTCCCGTGGGAACCAATTTTGTACTGTTGGTGAAATTGACGATGTTCTGTTCAGAATACAATGTTACACAATGCATTATTTGATAGATGAAAACCTTGACTTTTTCTATTGGTTATAAGTAATATATATATATTGAAACGTAAGAGAGAACTATCAAAGAATTGTGAAAGAGAGGATGTGGCAGGAGGGGTCTGATTTTCTATTGGATAGCTCTGTAACCAAACAAAAACTGAAGACTATAAAAAATTGTGGTTTGTCTGAGCACTAATGATTTTATGGAGAGTAATTTATGCTTGATTTCATACTTTTTAAGGGGTGGTGGATAAAATAGGAATGTGATATGCTAAGAAAAAACGTGTCATGTGGCTCACACTAGTGGAAATTCAGGATTTTTTTAATTAAGATCTTAAAACTTATATACTATTAAAATATAGATTATTAGCTAAGATTTTATGCTATTCTAATTGGTGTAACATAGATAAAAAGTGGTTTAATAAAATTCTGAATGTAAGATTAAAACCTTGTGTCATGAGCAGTAAAGGGTATGCGGGGTGATAGGGTTAAGGAAACAAACAGTCAACGACCTGTAAAACTTTTAAACAGAACAGTAACCTTGACCAATCATGTTCAATGTTTTCATTCTAACCAGCTTGGCCTGCCCACCAAGTACAGTAAAGTACAGCCTGTAGTAACACTAGACTTGCATTGGAACTTTCACACTTATTGCCATACCATAATACATACACAATGCCTGAGCACTGCACATGTACACACATTGCTGATATGTATTATCATTCATGGTTTGTATTGACCTGGATAGAGGCAAAGCTAGCCTTATTCTATTTATTGTTATTCTGTTTCCTACTGATCAAAACTTTCATAAACTTTTGTTTGCGGTTATCATTATTATGTTTGGTCTAACTTGTGCATTTTCCCACCTATGCGTGTGTAATCGAAAGGAGAGTCAGTGTTTCAACTGCAATGATTAAAGATGAAAATTCTGAAGTTGATTTTGTAAATTTGATTATTTTCTTTCTACTGAAGATTTATCAATAAGAAATTGAGACAGCCACGTTACATTTATTGTCCTAAGCATCGTTACAAGAAATTAAGCTAACTAAGTATTCATGTTATCAGCTTTTGTTTTCATTGCAAATTCATGCTCGCTCATATACATGTATGTGGTAATAGTTTCGTTTTGAGTTAACTTACTTATTAAGTTGATCATCCAAGAAAGTTTTTAGTCGTCTTGGGTGACCAATAAAATCGAGCCCTGGACTTAAAGCTATTTTCTCTTACCTTTGTCAAAGTGACCTTTGGGATGGTGACAATGAATCTGTAAGCTGAAAAATTCAAAACCTATCATGAGAATGAGGTAGCCTTATATAGAAATCAGTGAATTGAAATCTTTTTCTTTGTACTGATTATAAATAATCCAATAGCAGTTGACATTTTTTTAAAGGGCAGTATATAGCAAGAGGATGTGGTATGTGAATCTACTTTATATCTCTTTAAAGTAAGAATACTGGAGGATATATTATTTAGATTATGTGTTAGTAATCTCTATACTATAAATAAGTAACTTATGTTAAAATCAGGACATCATAATAGGTAGTACGATGGCCAGTTCAGAACAAACATAGTGTCATGTTACAGAGAAGTTAAGATTGAGTACTTATTTAAATATATATATATATATTTTTTAATTGATAGTCAATGTTAATAAAGTACTTAAATTAAGTTTTGAATGTAATTCTATAAAAAGGGCCATGACATTCACACTTTGACCTATGCATATCCAGAGGCTTGAACACCACTGTTCTGGTTTAGTTGTTAAACAACCACCATTGTTGTAAATATGGAAATTGAAATTTAGAAACATACAGTGTTTATAAATTCCTTTAATATATCTAATGTAGTGATGAAAAATATTTCAATTTCTAACAAAATTTTATAATTTTAATAGAATAAGACTCATGAAGTATATCCATTTATCATCAAGTACATAATGTTTGCTAATTATTGAAGTATTGTCTATAAATTAACTTATTATTTACACTCGGGAAATATTACTTCTGCAAAACTAGCATTCTTAAGTAAGCATGCTGACCACTAAAGACTGTTGTTGAATAACATGTGGAAAAATAGACTGTTTACAAATCATATGGTTACCAATTACAGGTATCATAAAGGAGAAAGTGCTTTTGTGATGAAACAAAATACTTTTATGATCACCATGATTTGTTGTTGAACATATTTAAGAATTATCTTGGAATACTGTGTTAATTGACTCTTTATAGCAGATTCTTATGGCTTGATTTAAAGAAATTGTGCATCCATGATGCAACAGAATAAGAAGCTTGCATTTTAATGACAGCTAAATAGTGCTGAAGTTAGGTGTATGTAGTACTAGATTAGCAGTGACTTAGTTATTTGCAAGGAATTTTATACTTTAAAAATTTGTTTTTGAATCAATAGATATTCCATCTCAATAAGAAAATGGGAGAAGACAGTGAAGAATGTACAAAGCTAGAAAAACAAGTCTGTGAATTTCAACAGAAACTAAAAGAAAAAGAAGAAGAAGTGTGGAGCCTTGATGAAAAAGTACAAGAAAAAGATCAAACACTGGCAAGACTGGTAAACATGTCTGTATTTCATAGTTTACTAAGTTAAATCTTGTATCTCAGTCATGTAAAATAAATACACAAAAATATAATTGCAAAACTATGAGATGGTTGCATATGAATATTAAAACTGCATTCACTTTTTCATTCTAGTTCTGTGCATCAAAATTAGCTAGTTTTGTTTTTTTATCAATTTTCCTGTATGCAAACCTAAAGGAAAGATGTATGTTTTTGTTCACATCTTTTACTTATGCCCTTTGCTAGACTTTAGCTAGCACTCACCACAGAAAAGCAATTCCTTTTTTTTATCAATTCAGTACCAAGCTGGCAATTCATTTGAAACCAGATGTACTTGCATGAAACTCGTCAATATCCCAGTTCAGTTTTAAAACAGTTTTGCAGCCTATGTCAATCTCCATTATGCATAAGTCAGACTAAACCTGTAACTTAAGAAAGCTTGGCTGGACTAGTCAGTGACCTATACATCCCCTAACAATGTAAGTTGACCAATAAATATTCCTCTCATAGCTTTACCAAATGGGAATAGCTGGTTACAATGAAATAACCTCATGCAAACACTAAATTCTCAAAACAAGATTTGCATCATTCTCTAGTAGCTGCAACTGACAGCACATTCGCAAATGACTGTTAATCATCATTTATTGCAATGAAATGCTTGTGATTTTTTAAAATAAAAGTAACTGAGCAAGCCAGCAGGAAATCTTCAAATTCTGATAGGGTACAATACCTTCTCTCACATAAATAGCTGTTCTCATTTGGTACTGCCTTCTATATGCAAAAACAATTTTTCACTTGCCACAAGCCTTGAGCTCCCATGTACTTTACAATCGATTGATTCACATGCGTCTCGCATGCAAATCATCATGCAACAACCCTCTACCAATAATAGTGTGACACTCTCTTGATACATGTGACTCCCACTTTTCGATTCTACCAAACTATCACTTCTCGTTTAGCAGTACTTGTGTCAAGATAGGGTTTTTTTGCACTCTTGGAAATTAATCAACTTTATGATTTTTTTTTAGTTATTATTCTGAAGTGAATTTTTTTTTCAACAGTAAATGATTTTTCAGATAACATATTTTCCCAGTTTTTCATATATATTTTTTTTCTTTTTCTTCTAACTCTTGTGTTTGATTTTCAGTTTTACATAATGAATTCCAAAGTTCAGGTTACCACTTCGAATATCATACCTTCTACTAGCACACTCACACAGGATACTAGTGGGGGTGTCTCGTCTTTAGATTTATTGGCTATCATCCACCGTGAGATTGATTGTTATATGAGTCAACCTGCTTCTCCTGATCTTTCCCCTATTCCTCCTGAGCATGATGAACCTGTTAGGGTCGACGAGAATCTTGACAGCTTTTTTCAGCCACCTGATTTTGCCATGTAATCCTATGCCCCTACTGCGGAATCAACTAGGCTTAACATGGGATTTTTAGACATGATTTCTCAGGTATGTTCTGTTTTATCAATTTCCCTGATTCTTATGATCCCTGTCCTTCTTTGTTACGGGATACCTCCTACTATCAGTATTTGGTTTCCCCCCTTCCCTGGATATTAGGGTTTATACTGAGCATTTTGTTACTCAGATGGTTGAGGGTGGCAGCACACCTCACCCTCTATAGGCTTTGGATCAGTTTGCCTTGACTTGCCATCATTTTGAATGTCTGTTTTTTGACTCTCAACAGTTAGAATCGATTTTGCCCATGTGGGGGGCAGACCCTGATCATCCTGTTCATTTATCCCATGCCCAGTTTCTCTCCTTCATCATACCCTATCAACTCGCCTACAGAATGTTTCTACCATCCATTTTCTTTTTGAGGTGATCCACAGAGATCCTGAGGACTTTTCAAGGGATTGCCTTTCCCTGATTACCTTCAGATTGGCAAGTTTGTCTTCTTCAGCTCTATCCTTACACATGTCGTTTCTCTGTTGTTGGAATCTCCTGGGAAGGAACGCATTCTTGTTTTAGGTTCATTTACTGCTTTCTTATCTCTAGGACTTAATATACGGCCCCTTTTCTTCAGCAGTATGTTTTTAGTAATATTTCTGAGATTTCTGAATACTGTTTGGAGTCATTGAGACAGCACACTACCCTTTCTTCTTTGGTGGATCGTTTGTCGCATTCGGAGCCTAGACTTGCCCTTATTACTGTTTCCCATCCAGCTCCTTCTCAGGCTGTACCTGTTCTTCCTTCCAGGGGTTCCTCATCTTGTCATTTTATTCAACATAGATGGACATGTTGCCAACAGTACCTGTGACTACCCAGTGGGGGTTCACTTTTGTTCCCCCTTTGGTGACTTTTTGCCACAGATCTATGGGTTATTTGGGTTTTTATTTTTTACCCTTCTCCATTATCTCAAATACCCATTTCATTTCCATTGCCTCAGGACCCTACCACCAGTTAGCAGCTGTCCGAGGTAATACAAGATCTTCTTTTCCAGTTTTTTATTCCAGGCTGTTTGTAGAACCCAAGAAAACCAGAGATTGCTGGCCTTTGATCGATTTGACCCACCTCAGTCACTTTTCAGTTATACCCTGATTCACCCTCCAGTAGGCTTTTTCTGTGGGTTTGTGGATGGACCAAGGTAGATGTCACAAATGCTTACCTGCATATCCTGATATCTCGTCTGTCGAGATGTTATCTTCAGTTCATTCATCACTGGGTAGTTTATCAGTTTTGCACCCTGCCCTTAGGCCTGCTTTGGCCCCGTACGTTTTGTCAGGTGATCAAGCACATATGTAGTCTCTTCAGTGGAATCTGCACGACAAATGTAATCTTGCATGTGATCCTTTGGAGACTCTTATATCGTTTTCTGCTTCCCCTGTAGACAATATGCATTGGTGGTTGGACAAGGCTTACACGTCAGCAGATGTTCATCTTCCATCCCCTCGTCCAGATTTACATATCTTCATGGCCACTTCCCTTCAGGGCTGGGGGCATTGGGTCGATCAGCATGAAGCTTCAGGTCAGTGGTCTCCGACTGATAGCTTTTACCATATAAACATCCTGGAGCTTCTGTTTGTACATTGTGCCTTGAATCATTTTCTTCATCTTGTCAGGAATTGTCTGGTCATGATCCATTCCAGCAATTCTACAGTGGTGGCTTATCTCAATCACCAAAGTGGCACCCATTCTCCTTCCCTTTGTGGTCAGACTTTGGATCTTATTGTTTGGGCCCACATTCTCAGTATTCATATCAAGCCATGTTCCGGATGCATTCAATCTTGTTGAGATCTTCTTTGCTGTCCAGACAAAGTTTATCCAACGGAGTGGTCTCTCAATCATCTTGTTTTCTGGTTGCTATGGCTTCAGTGGATGTGTTTGCCATGGCTCTCAATACCGAATTACCTCTGATTCCTCATCCTCTTGCTCTGGCTGTCAATGCTTTCAGTCAAGATTGGAACAACAAATACTTGTACGTTTATCCTCCCATCCGTTTTCTTCACAAGGTGATCTCGGCCATCCATGCCACTCAGTGTCAAGTCCTTCTGATTGCTCCTTACTGGCCAGTACAACCATGGTTCCCAAGGCTGCTCCAATCTGCTCTGCCATTACCTCTTCCTCTTACTCCATCCCTTCTATGTCAACCTCGGTCACTGGCATTTCATCCAGCTCTTCCTGTCCTTTGTCTTCATGCTTGGTTTCTTTCCAGTCCCTGATGAGGAGATCTGGTTTGTCCCGAAAATTAGCTTCTTTTTTTTTTAGCTTGTTCCACTCACCCTTCCTCTAGGGATGTTTATCAATGTATGTGGACATTTTCCACTGTTTGTCTTTGGTTCCAGGGTTTTCACCTGCTAAACCCACAGTTCCTCATATTATGGAGTTCCTCACTTGGCTCTTTGATCAGGGGTCTATTGTCTCCTTGATTGTGGGTTATTGGGCTGCCTTATCCTGCACTTTTTGTTTTTCCCCATACCATAAAGGTTTTACCTCTCCTACCCTTTCTCTCTTGTTGTATTCCTTCCAGATTAGTCATCCTCCTTGGCATGCTGTCCTTCCAGATTAAATGTCAATGTGGTTCCTCGATGCCTCTGTTTGAACTGCTGTCCTCATGCTCGATTTTTCCACTTATCCCTTAAGACTTATTACCTTCTCATCTTAGCCTGTGGATGTTGTAGGTCGGATTTATTTGCCATTGAAGTTTCACATGCTCTATATCATTCCACATATATTCTCCTTTATCCGGCTTGATTTTTCCTCCCCAAAACTTCAATGGCAGAAGAGAATAATTCTTTCTTCATGCTGATTTTCCTTCCTTCCATTTCCCACCTTTATCTTTGGACAGATCCAGATATGCTACTATATCCTGTCTATACTCTTTGTTGTTATGTTGCTCGCACAGCTTCCTTCCACCTTTTCATTCCTTGGCAGACATCCTCTGTTCGTGACCTTTCCCCTTCCACCCTGACCAATTGGGTCCAGCTTTTAATTTGATTGGCTTATTCTTCCTTGTCTTCTTTCCGTACTTTGTTCCAGATGTCTTCTCATCAGATCAGGCACCTTACCTTTTCTCTGGCATCTCATCTCCATTGATCCTAGGAGGGGATTCTTCATTCAGGTATGTGAATTACTCCACATACATTCATATCTCACTATCTGCATAGGAACACTGTATCTTCATCTTTGGGTTATTGTCTTTTGCCTTTATCTATTCTTCAGAATTCAGGGAGATTGTGACTGGGTAAGTTATCTTTTATATCTATATCTCTTCTTCTTCAGGGGCTTTTCCATTTTTTTATTTTTTACTCTGTCTGGATCCTAGTTTGTGGTGAGTGGTGCCTGACCAGGTATACTTAAAAATAGTCAAATCTGTGCTGTAAGGCCATGATGAATTAAAAATTATAATTTCCATGGCCACTAAATGCACACAAAACTGTTCCACAAAACTGCTTGTAGGTTTGTCCTTGTGATATATTTGCTTCATTAATATGCCCATGCCGAACCATACTCACTTTCATAGGTAAAGCAGAAGAGGATAGCTGTCCATCCCTACTTTGCTTTAGATTGAATATATGGGGTGTGGGCTGCTTTTCAAAATAGGGTTTTCGTGGTCACCCGTTGCACTGTCTCAGGTGTTGTCATTCCTCTAGACTCTCTGCTGCAATTTCTACCCCCTTTTTCTTCCAGTGGAGTATGGGAGTCCTTACCACTTTCCAGTTCCTAAATGTGATAATGATAAAATATACATAAAATGATAAAACCATTCAGTTGAGCATAAGACGGTTGTGTGCTGCTGGTGTAGATGATGAGATGTCCTACACTATGTATAATTGGAGTGAGCTGTCAAAGTTGCAGTTCACCCCTTTGATTGGGATACCTCATCCTCATAAGTCCTCACTTTTGTTCTTCCATCCATGTGTGGGTCACGATGGAGGTACTTGCAGATTAATACCGTTCTTCCTCTTACACTATCCCTAGATTATTTTATTATACCGAGGATGTTATTGGGCTAGGGGCAGTTCCTGTCAGTTTGTTTTTGAGTGAGATAGTTTACATTACAAAGGCATCTTTACAATACCGGATGTCAGGTTCCTGGATCAATCAATCAATTTCTCACATTGTTGTCATGTTACTCATTCATAGATCGGGGGTATGAGATTCTCTCCAGTATGATGAGCTTGAGGTGAAATTGGTATGATCCTCTTTCTTACCTCTGCTAGATGGCTGGTTTTGGATTGTAATTCACCTGCTACCGGTATGATCCTCTTCCCTACCCCCACGTGGATGTCTGTTCTTAGTGGCCTTGGTTTTGGATTGTAGTTGACTTGCCAGTAGTTTGATCCTCTTTTCTACCCCCACATGGATGTCAGTTCCCAGTGGCCAGGTTTTGTATTGTAGTTGACTTACCAATGGTATGATCCTCATCATACCCTTGCGTGGATGTTGGTTCTCCACCTATTCAATTTGGGATTCTAGTTATTTATGTGAGAAGAGGTAATGCATTGTATCGGAAGTTATAATTTTTCTATACTGAAAAATATATTTCTGCCAAAACTTAAAGTGATAGTTTGGTAGAATTTAATAGAGGGAGTCACATGTAAGGAGAGTGTCACACTCTTATTGATGGAAGTTTGTCTCATGATCATTTCCATGCAAGATGCATGTGAATCAGTCGATCGTAAGGTATGTGGAAGCTCAAGGTTTCTGGCATGCAAAAAAATTATTTTGCATATAGAGGGCAGCATTGAACAAAAAAAACTATTTATGTGAGATGAGGTAATTGCTGAAAATTTCTGCAAGCTTATCCTTATGCTTTTTTTTTTCCTGAAATAGGATCATATGTCACTAATAATAGGGATTTTGTTTTATTTTCATGCTATTTACAATTAAAATATAATTCTCATAAACAAATATTGTGCTTATCCTTGTGCCCTTTTTTTTCCTCCTGAAATATGGTTATATGTTGCTAGTAACATAAATATTGTTTTATTTTCATGCCATTTGCAATTAAAATATAATTTTGACAAAAGTATTGTGCAGTAGCCAGATATACATACATACATACTTGTTATAATTTATTATATTGAAGAACTTGTGCAAAGGACAACTAATTTTATTCCAATAACAATGAAGCTTTGTTTTCTGTTTTATACAACTAAAAACTTGGTACATTAAAACCTATACAAAATGCAAAGTATGCTGATTATCTTTAAAAATGTGTATTTTTATAAAAACAAATTGAGGTAAATGGTAGTTTTTTTCTGGTTTTATATTTTGTTAGTTAACTGATCTCCATAATGAACTGTGGATTTACATAATGTTTAAATGTTTTCAAACTAGTTTCATACTAATAAATAATTGCTGATATAAAGTTAAAACTTTAGTTTAAATTTTATAACAATTGTATATATAGAAATGATTTTTATTGACAGTCTTCAAATAAATTTAATTGACTGAACTAGTAAGCAGAAGGTTGAACCTTTTATTCAGCAGAATAGACATCAGACAAACAGTTTTATTTTCTGTATCAAAAAACCAATTTAAACAAATAAGAAATCTAATTATATCAAAAAATTAAGCTCTTTTGTATAAGTTTATCTAGCTCTAAGGTATTTTGTTCCCTTTTTTAATTGACACCAAAAAACAGACATATAAGATTCATGTTTTTGTTATGTTTCTGCAGAGAATCCAGAATGAAGAAGAAGTCAAGAAGATAATATTAGAGTCCCAGATAAAACAACAGGAATTAAACAGTCTGATCTCACAGTTAGAATCTGACCTTTCAAAGACAATGGAAGAAAGAGAGAAAGAAAATGATGAAGCACATAGGAGAATAGTAATATTTCTTAGTATTTGATAGAATATAGGAACTCACTGTGCTTGACTAGTTGTGTTAGTCATCTTCATAGGTCTCCTGTGTTTTTTATTTCCTGCCAACAGCATACTTTGTACTAAAACATGAAATATAGTACTTAAGAAAATATGTGTATCCACATAAATATGCATATTTGCAATTGATGTGTTCGAAGGAAAACAAAGTTTGATAATAAACTAAATTATGATACTTATGATTTACAACATTATTTATTGACAAAAAGGGGACATGGATAAACGTTTCAGAATTCTATCAACTTCCATCTTCAGTATCTAAAGCAGAATAAAATGAATTTACATAAGTCTTTACACATTGTCAAAGTACAGTTGCTAAATATAACGATAATTAAACAAATAAAACACTAAACAGTAATCATGGGGAGAAACTACAGCAATAAAACACAACGAAAAAAAAACGAAAAATCAGTAATATGAACATATTAAAAAATGTATAATTTAAATGAAGACTGCATGTTGTTCAGGGTTGGGGGGGGCTGTTTGAT